TGGCTCAGGTCATGATCTCAGGGTTTTGTGGGTTCGAGCTCTTCACCAGGCTCTGTGAGGCAGCATGGAGCCTGCTTTGGATTCTCCCTCCCTCACTGCCCTCCCCGACTCGTACTCTGTCTCTCTGAAAATAAATAAACTTAAAAAAAAAATGATACCATTTCATATCCAAATATTTGACAAAAATGTGAAAAGTCCTATATAACACTAACAGTGAAGATATGGAAAAATGGGGCTTCTCATACAGTGTTGACTGGAATATAAAGTGGTACAACTACTTTAAAGAACAATTTAAGAGTTACTTGGGTGGCTCAGTCAGGTGAGCAACCAACTCTTTATTTTGGCTCAGGTCATGATCCCAGGGATGTGGGATCTAGCCCTGCCACTGGGATCCATGCTAAGTGTGGAGCCTGCTTAAAATTCTCTCTCTCTTCCTCTGCCCCTCTCCCCTGCTTATGTTCTCTAACATTAAAAAAAAAAAAAAGAAGAACAATTTAAAAATTCTAGCAAGAATTGAATATGTACATACCCTATGACTCAAAGGTTCTGTTTCCTTGTGTATATTCAGGTAAACTTTGGGTGCAAAATCCACATGCTGGAATCTTTGGTAAATTTGTTTGCAATATCAAAAAACAAAACAATACTACTGTTCATCAAGAGACATGGATAAACTAGTTTATTCTTACAATGGAATAAGACATAAAAGTAAAAGACCTAGCTATTTATGCAACAAAATAGATCTCATATAAAAAATTTTTTAAAATAATCTCTAAAACCTCATGTATGATGAAAATAAGCTCGAGAACACATGAAGTATAACACCATTTATTTTCATTTTAAAACCACAAAACAACACTATATATTGTTTTGAACACATGCACATTTGGTAAAAGTATAAAAACAAGTATGGGAATGATATCCATGAACTGTAAAACAGTAATTATACCTGAAAAGAGACAGGCGAAAGAAAAGAGAGGTGGGACTTTAACTTTTTAAGATTTTGTGACTCACAAGGAAGGAACTCTTTAAACAAATATGGCAAAATGTTAACATCTGTCAAATGTGGGAATTAGGCTCATGAGTGTCTCATACACTAGATGCTGATATCTGAACTATTTCATAATTAAGTTTTAAATAAATCACTAGCAGCTTAAGTACTGTCCTTTAAAAATTATACATTGATACACTCACTGTAAAAAATATTTAAACATGCAAGAGTTATCCTAATAAAAATCCTCAATTTATCAGTCCTTTCATCAAATCTCATTTTCTTACCTACCTACACTTGGCCCTTGAACAACATGGGGGTTAGGGGAGCTGAACTTTGTGCAGTCAAAAATCCACATATAACTTTTGATATGCCTCAAAGCATAACTAATAGCCTACTTGTTGGCCTTAACAGTAACAGTTGATTAACACATATTTTATACAGGCATTATATACTGTATCCTTTTAAAAAAAAAGCTAGAGAAAATATTAAGAAAATCATAAAGACAAGAAAATACATTTATAGTATTGTACTCTATAAAAAAAGTCTATGTATAAGTGGATCTGTGCAGTTCAAGCCCTTGTTGTTCAAAGGTCAACTGTAGTAACATTAAACATGTATATTTCTATTCATTTGTATATACAGTAAAACCTTGGTTTACAAGTATAATTCGTTCCAGAAACATGCTTATAATCCAAAACACTTGTATATGTAAGTGAATTTCAAGAACCATCGGCTCAGTTGTGATCATGTGACATTCGGCATCATGTACTACACATACTGCAGGACATTGCTCGTTTATCAAGTTAGTATTTATTAGAAATGTTTGCTCGTCTTGTGGAACACTCACAGAACAAGTTACTCGCAACCCAAGATTTTATTGTATATGCACAAACCTGTGCAAAGTAGTTCTTTTGTATGTAAATGGATTCATAGAGAACATATATTGTGACTTGCTTCTTTCAGTTGACAATATATATATTTTGCATCAATTTTTGAACTGCTGTGTAGTATCCCAGAACTCTATTTCCTTTAATTCCCCGCCCCAAGTTTGGAAATTTAGGCTATTATCAATTTTTTTTAATTATAAATAATGTTACAGAAATTTCTGTAAATATATCTGAGTATTCATTTATTAGCACTCTTGTGTGCTATTGACATAAAGACTGAACAATATATTTATTTTAAATTTTGATGTCAATTTTCCTTTCAAAAAAGCCCTATCATTTACATCCTTTCCAGAAATATGAGATTGCCCATTTCCTCACACCCTATGACCTTTAAGAATATTGGGTATCTTGAGCTTCTTTAGCTTTTGCAAATTTGATGAACAAAATTGTTTCGTTTTGTTTTAATTTACATTTCTCTGATCACTAGTGAGGCTTAATATTTCTTCTTCTGTGAACTTTTAATTTATATCATTTGATCATTTTCCACTGAGTTATCTTTTACTGAGTCATAGGAACATTTACATCTTAACTATCTTTTTAATGTTTACTTTTGAGAAAGAGAGACAGAGACAGACAGACAGATCTGAAGCACGCTCCAGGCTCTGAGCTGTCAGCACAGAGCCTGACATGGTATCTGAACTCACAAACTGCCACTTCATGACCTGAGCTGAAGTCTGAAGCTTAACTGACCACCAAGGCGCCCCACATCTTAACTATTTTAATCATTATGTTGGTAGCAAGTATCTTCTGTAAACTTTATTTATAGTAGCTTTCACAGAGTGTACAAGTTATATATTTTTATTTAGACAGACTTCCAATCTTTGGGGATTTTGATAGGTAACATTTAAAGAACTGTTCACTTCCATAATTTTCAATTGTCCCATCTAGGAACATAGTATATCTTTCATTTTTAAGTTACAGCTTTTTTAAAAAAAAGTCCATTTCCTTTTTTTTAAAATTTATTTATTTTTGAGAGAGTGTGTATCTATCTGCTCAAGGAGGAAAGACAGAGACGGGATAGAGAATCCCTAACAGGTTCTGCGCTGCAGTGCGGAGCCCAATGCAAAGCTCAATCTCACAAACCATGAGATCATGACTCAAGCCAAAATCAAGAGTCAGCAGCTTAACCGACTGAGCCATCCAGGAACCTCTAAAAAGTCTATTTCTATTTTAAAGTTTTGTTTGCTAATATAAACAGGATCTTTTCTCTTATATATCTAAAACATGTATCTTGGAGAAAATCTCAAAGCCACTATTTTAATAAAATAAACCTATGAATTATTAACCTCTATTACTCTTAATGGTAACTATTAAAAAAAACCCTGTTGAGATATTTAAATTAATGTGAGTGAAGAATTGAACAAGGGAATTAAGATTAAAGAGAGAAAGCTAAGAACTGCTAAAACTGTTCAATAATATGGAAATAATTAAAATATGTTAAATTAACCTAGGTCAGGCAACTTTCCTTAAAATATATAATATACTTAATGAAACAGTAGTAAGTCAGGCAAATTACCAGTGATGGTATTATGACAATTTTCAGCATACTTTTATAAAGGCAAATTTCAAATAGCAAATAACTTTTATTTTTATGTAGGTATAATTTCCACATAAGTAACAAATATACATGGGAGATGAAAAACTAACATAGCAAATCTTTTGACATGTATAAACCATTTCACAGACTACTAACTACTCTCCTCAAAAGTATTAGAAGGCATTAAGGATAGTCGATGGCTTAATGTTAAGTATAATATGTCTTAAGGAATTTAGAAAAATCTTTGATTTTCTAAAATTAAATTATTTTATTATGTTTTAAAATTAAATTACGTTAAAACCTAACATTTCAAATCCAGAATGGATATATCCATGTTTTGCCAAAAAACAAAGCTTGCATCAAGAATCTTGCAAAAATTTTACGGGTGCCTGGGTAGCTCAGTTGATTAAGCATCTGCCTCTTGGTTTCAGCTCTGCTCATGATCTTACAGTTCATGGATTCGAGCCCTGTTGTCAGAGCAAAATCAATTTTGGATTCTCACTCGCCCTCTCTCTCTCTCTCTCTCTCTGCCCCTCCCCTGTTTGTGCTCTCTCTCAAAAATAAATATTAAAGAAAAAAAAGAATCTTGCAAAAATTTAAAACTCTGTATTGTTATTGGTAAAACTTATCAGGGAATTAGGAAAGAACACACTGTTCACTAAGAACAGAGAATGGTAAAGACACACAGATAAAAGAAAAACAGGAAGATTATTAAATACAATTTTATAATTCCTACCATTAGAGGGTACAATGTCAAACTGTTCTGTGATATTCCCAATCTTGTCAGGGAGGGATGGGACATGTGGGGAAAAAAAAGCCTTCTACTAAGGCTATATTATATAGTTTGATCAAGGGTCACTCCTTCCTAAAAAAAATCGGATTTATTCCACAGTGATCCTAGGTGATTTTGATATTTTATTCATCTATCTTCAGAAGACTTATGAAAAAAAATGTCTTTACAGGAACAGAGAGGTACTCTGTCTCTGAAATGAAAGTGTATAATTATTTGTTAGAATAATTACAGAAATAATGTCAATGCTTTACAGGAAACAAAGGCCACTTTCTATAGAGAGTTGGTATATGCTATGAATTTTTACTAATTTAAGGTTTGTGGGACTAATCATAAATTTAATCTAATAATTTTAATCTAACAGTTTCATTTCACATGGGAGGAAAACCCACCAACTTGTCAAAACACTGCACTCTTAGTTATGGTGAGACTAAAATACTCATCAAGGTCAAAGAGAAATGAGTATGACATGCCTCCCTAAGCGTTCATTTTACTTTATAAACTTTGATTTTATATGCAAATTACAGGTCTTCTTATCTAATGCTGTCTAGAAATATTTAACTATGTTCTGCAGTTTTCAGCAATGTTCATTTAATGTGAAATTTAATTATGATGCAATACTTCATTCATTTTCAACAGGCCAGTTCTAAGAGGAATATTTCCATTTCCAAAACTTTTGCCAGAGTTATATATTTAAGATTAAAAACTACAAAGCTTGAGTTTATCCTAGAAAACTCATTTTTTCTGAGTTGGTGCATCACAGTATGGCACATTTTCTATAAGGAGTTCTTTCCTAGGGACCAATTCTGAAAGAAAAACAAAAAGAGTAATTGACATCATGAAAATGAACATACATTCATTTCCCCCTAAACTTTTTAACAGTAAAATATTGAATTTTAAGGTAGATCTTCCATAAATATTTGAGTTAATTTCTAGGGTGAAGTCCTTGATTTTAAATGGAAACTGTTAACAGAATTCTCATTTCAGATTATATTAAAACATATATTATCAACTGAACCTTTTATCATTTATTAAATATAACTAATTACATGAACAGAATTAGGCTAAAGCACATTATCACCTATCTGATGACAGATTACTGATAATTAAAATAATCAACAGGAAATTTGTTTAAATGCCTATTATATAAAAAGCAAGACTGTTTCTCTAATTTAAAGATCCTAAATTTTACAGAATAGTAGTTCTCACATGGGGGTGTTTTGGGTGGTCACACCAACTGAAGAACGCTGCCTGCATTTAGTGGGTAGGAGCCAGGGATGTATGGGACAATTTGGTGCAGTGAAGAACTATCCTGTTGAAAATGTCAACAGTTCCCCACTGAGAAACACAGTTAAACAACAACAACAAAAAATATGAGTCTTCAGTAACATATCTTGCTGAAGGTCAACTGAGATCCATAATTTTGAGATCATTGATTTTCCCTTTTTTTCCCTGAAGAGGTTAATTCAGGTATCATGATAAAAAAAATGCTCACATCACTTTCTATGAAATAACTTGGGTATACTCTGTCAGGGGCCCCTGGGTGGCTCAGTACGTTGAGTGTCCAACCCTTGATTTCAGCTCAGGTCATGATCCCAGGGTCATGGAATGGAGCCCTGCATCAGACTCCAAGCTGAGTGTGGAGGCTGCTTAAAACTTGTCTCTCTCTCTCTCTCTCTCTCTCTCTCTCTCTCTCTCTCTCTCCCCTCTCCTCTCTCCTCTCTCTCTCTCTCTCTCTCTCTCTCTCTCTCCCTCTCTCTCCTCTCTCTCTCTCTCTCTCGCTCTCTCTCTCTCTCCCTCTCTCTCCTCTCTCTCCTCTCTCCTCTCTCTCCCCTCTCTCCCTCTCACTCTCTCTCGGGGCACCTGGGTAGCTCAGCTGGTTAAGCGTCTGACTTAGCTCAGGTTATGATCTCGCAGTTTGTGAGTTCAAGCCTCGTGTTGGGCTCTGTGGTGTCAGCATGGAGCCTGGAGCCTGCTTCAGATTGTGTCTCCCTCTGTCTCCGCCTCTCCCCTGCTCATGCTCTCTTTCTCTCTCTCTCTCAAAAATAAACAAATGTTAAAAAAATTTTTGAAAGAATTCTCTCTCCCCCTCTGCCCCTCTCCCCCACTCGTGCTCTCTGTCTTTGTCTCTCTCTCAAAAAAATCATGGTCATGAAAGAAAGAAAGATTGAGGAATTGCTTCAGATTAAGAAAGACTAAAAAACATGGTGACTAAATGCTATTTGTGTGATCCTCAATGGATCCTAGACCAGAAGGAAAATTTTTTTCTTCTGCTATGGAAGACAAGTTAGGACAAATGAAAACATGCAAATGATACAGTTGTATCAATGTTAATATTGTGGTTTTGATAATTATACTGTGGTTTTATAAAAGAATCTCCTTGCAAGTTTAGCAAATATATATGAAAGTATTTTTAAGAAATACACTCTTTCTCCAAATATAATCTTAGAGGGCTATCACGATTTTAAAAATGATCATTTGGGGGTAAAGAGGCATTATGTCTGCAATGTACTGTCAGAACATCCAGGAAAAAAATGAGGCAGGAATAATAAAGCAAATGTGGTAAATGTTAGCATTTGTGAAATTTCAGTAAAGGAAGTATCCATACCCTTCAACTTCTCTTGCATCTTTTCTGTAAATTTGAATTACTAAAAAAAAAATTTCTAAAAGGTGTCACTTAAATAAATTTAATTCGAAAGGAAAATATAACTGATCTAACTAAAAATAATGTTCTTATGAGCCAGGTCTTAAATGTGGCTTACTGAAATGAAAACCAGTTAAATAAATATTTTATATCTCATCTGCTTTTACCAAATCTTGGGAGATATCACCAGAGAGCAAACTATAGATTAGGTTTTAACTTAGTAACAATGGCAATAAATTGTTTCACTTATCAAACATATATGTGCCTATTTTATGCTGAACATTACATCATGAAATGAAGATGCAGAGATGAATATATAATAGTCTTTTCAGGACAGCATGGTAACAATAGTTAATAATACTGTATTTGAAAGCTACTAAGAGTACATCTTAAAAGTCCTTATCTCAAGAAAAACAATTTGTAACTATGTAGAGGACAGACATTAACTAGACTTATTGTGGTAGTCATTTTGCCATATGTACAAATATGGAATCATGTTGTAGAAATGAAACTAATAATGTTATATGTCAATTATACTTCAATTTAAAAAAAAAAGCCTATTCGGCTTCAAAGAGTCTACAGTCTGGTGGAAAAGACATTAACCAAAAGTACAACAAACAGTAGTTTAAAAAAGTAAGAGATTTAATTTTCTCACATATCAAGAAATATGAATTAAGGCAGTCCTGGGCTACTACGGGTCTTTACTACCACTAAGAAGCCAGGCTCTTTTTACATTCCTGTTGTGCTATCCTTCATGCGTGGTTTTTGTCTTTACTGCTGCTGTGACATCACATCTGCTCTCCAGGCAAGGAGAAGGGAAAAGGGCAAAAGGTGAGTGCTAGGTTGGTTTATGACTTTTTAACAGGAAAACAACAGCTTTCTTGCAAGCAACATCCAGTACACAACTGCTTATGTTGGCCAGAAAGGTGTCCTGTCGCCTGAGAAATAACTTTTTTTTTTTTTTGTCTTGGCACACTGCACCCTGAACAAAAGTTTTCAGCCAGTAAAAAGGAATGGATAGTGAATACAAGTGGTCCACCCTCCTGTCTACACAACATGAATATATACCCTTTGGTGCATACACAGAATATATCAATTTACAACCCCCAAAGTCTTATCCACCAGGTTTAAATCAAGTATTTCTGGCTGATGTGCTAGTCTTTCCCTTAGGTCTACCCAGGGCTCACATGGTAGTATAGACACAGCAGTGAAAAACTGGAATAGGAAACACAGCAGTCACTGTACCACAGCAAACCCTAAATCCTGCTGGACAGGAAGAGCAAGGACTTCTTGCTTTTGCCAAGCGATATATTCCCTAGTTAGCCAATCTGGCAGCACCTATCCTGTTTTGTGGGAGACTAAAAGACCTTCTCCTGTCCTCTCTTCTTCAAGGCTCCTGGTTCTGTATGCTAGGGGCATCCTTGTCCAGAGGTGGGATACTGGGGAAGATCCTCTTCGTTGAGAGTGTGAAGCTTTCACAATCCACTTGCTATTGATGTGTTCAAGGGTCCAGGGATGGCCTTAAGAGTTGAAGTGAGCTAGCCAGACTTGGGGTTTCTTGGCAATATAATTCATTTAAAAACTTTATAAGCTCCAAATTTATTTTTTTTTCTAGTCATTTCCATGTATAGGTAGTCATAGGTTTTTAAGCATGAAGATTTTCATTCTTTGGTAATGGCCTCTATGTTCTGCCCATTCCCCAATCCTTAGATTAATGCATATTTCTTAAAGTAATGAAAAACTATAGGCTCCAGTGAGTAAATGCACTGTATATCTGATCTTTGCCTGACAAATGAGAATGGCTTGAGGCAAGGATCTTATTTCATGTCAGAACTCAAAAGCCCTGGCTTGTATTGGCTATAGTGTTAGTAGGTAAGAGCAATTCTCATCTTCAACACTGCAAGACTCTAAATCTAAAGTATAGGATTCTCCATCAGGACACAGACAGAAAAGTGCCCTTAGCAAAACAGTACTTCCTTCCATCTTTGCTTGGTAGCAACTAGCTTAATCTGCATTCATTCTCTTTTTCAATATTCTGCTGAAAGCAGGAAGATATAACCAGAACACCATGACATTCTGGTTATTTCTCTTATTCCTATAGCTTCAGCTGGTACTCGGTGTGTTTCAAGAAACACTACGAGGCACTTACCTCATGTTTCATCACTACATAACAAGGGCCACCAGCCTTAAAGACTGTAAAGGTGAGATCCATAACAGTCATATCCACCTGTGTCTTTGCCTTCCATTCAACTAATCGCACAGCACCTCACTTTTGGTAACAACTTCTGTTGTTCTTAGTTAAAAGTAACAGAAGCTGACTCTGGCTGATTAAGCAGAAAAGGCATTTATTAAAAAGGTTTTTGGTCTAACTCATGCAATTATTGTAAGGGCTTAAGAATCAGGCATGCTTAAGGCTAAGCTTCCAGGAACAATGTACAAATCCATACCACAAAACTGGCTTGATGATGAAAACTGCTGCTGCCTGTTGGCCCCTACAAGAAACTGCCATCACTTCTATCACCATGGAACAAAAGATGCTACATTTCAGATGCTGCTGGAAACTAAATTTTACTACATCTGCTTCTGCCACCATACCAGTGCCACTTGTGAATCAGTAAATTGACTCTGCCATTACTGCCAGCAAAACAGATTGTATGCCAACCATCTTTTCTCAAGTTCATTTCTGAGTATGAGTGAATGTACTGCACCTATGTCAAATTCCATGCCTTTATTTTCTTTATAACATCTATTTATTTTTAAGAGAGACAGAGCACGAGTGGGGAAGGGCAGAGAGAGAGGGAGACACAGAATCCGAAGCAGCTCTAAGCTGTCAGCATACAGCCTGAGGCTCAAACCCACAAGCTATGAGATCATGACCTGAGCTAAAGTCAGATGCTTAACCGACTGAGCCACCCAGGTGCCCTTCCATGCCTGAACTTTAAAGAAAACCAAGGAACTGAATTTTCCAGATTCTTATAAAAAAATTTTTTTTAATGTTTATTTTTCAGAGACAGAGAGAGACAGAATATGAGTAGGAGAGGAGCAGAGTGAGAGGGAGATACAGAATTTGAAGCAGGCTCCAGCCTCCAAGCTGTTAGCATAAAGCCCAACGTAGGGCCCAAATCCACGAACCATGAAATCATGACCTGAGCCAAAGTCGGC